CTTTACTTGTCCTGTACATATTGTTATGATGTTATATCTGAAAGTGTTTATCTAAATGTAATTATCTAAGTTCTCCATCACGCAACGTGCCATACACAGATATACTCTTGTGAAAACCATGTTTTCTCTTTACGATTTTTTACGTCATTTTCCTTTATTTTCTATCTTGTATCTTTTCTGTTCTTTTCTTTTCCTTGTAAGAATTACTACTGGGTGTATTGGCTATAAAACCTTGGTAGATGGACCTGATGGCTACTCTATTGTCTACTCTATTGTTTATGTAATTTTTGATGATGATGGGTAATGATTTAATGCAGTATAGAGTAGCTATTGGTTGCTTCTACCAACGGATACACGGTATAAATACTACATTACATTTTTTCATTTTTATTTCTATCAGTAAACTGTTTACAAGATGTAGGTCTAGCTTAATGAGTATCATTACTTCTTTATTATTAGCCATTCACGCTACTCTGTCTGCCATTACTAACAACTCTTGCTTTCTATTAATTTTACAACTTCTCATCCTGTCATGTAACGATGTCCATCCTAACCCCGGCCCTATCGAGAAAACCGACATTTCTATCTTTCATCTAAATATTCGAAGTCTGAAAAACAAATTATCATTTCTAGAAAATATAGCATTAGATTATGATATTGTCTGTGTCACCGAGACTCACCTTGATAACTCCACCGTAGACGCTGATATACTCCTTAGTGATTATGATGTATACCGTAAAGATCGTGGGTCTCCGGGTGGGGGGATAGCTGTTTACGCTTCCAGGCTCTTGTGCACCCGTCATAGAGCTGATTTGGAATTCCGGGTGGGTGAAATTATTTGGACAGAACTCCAGTTTTCAGAGCAAAAATATCTTCTTTGTACTGTGTATAGACCTCCTAATTGTGATCGTTCCTTCTGGTATTACTTCCGACACTCAATTGAAACGGCTTTTAATGAAACTTCACACGTAGTAATCGTTGGTGATATCAACGTTGACCTCTTAACTATTAATAATAATCATGTATTTGTTGATATCCTTGACTCCTTTAATCTATCGAATATCGTTCAAAGACCGACACGTGTAGGACGTACAAGCTCGACCTTACTTGACCCGATTATTCTGTCTGACACGTGCAGTTTTAGCTACACCGACGTAATAGATATAGACAGTGACATCTCTGACCATAGCGCGACAACGGTTGAATTGACAGTTAGGACTAGTATTAGGAAGACTTATGAAAGAACTATAAGATGCTACAATGACGCAAATTATAACTTATTTAATAATAAATTAAACGATACGGACTGGGTAGACTTATTTGCGACTGCTAACTCTCCTGACGATATGTGTGAAATTTTTACAACGCGATACCTAGACATAGCTAGGGAATGTATACCGACTCGGACGGTGACCGTTAGACCTAATGACAAACCCTGGTTTGACTCAAATTTAAGACGTGAAATTTGGAAAAGGAATAGACTGTTGAAATTGTATAAATCAAACCGCTCCAACAACAACTTATCTAACTTTCGGAAACAACGTAATCATGTGAATAACTTGAAGAAACGAACAAAAGAATTTTTTTATGCTGATATAAATGGAATTTTAGATCGATACTCGAATTCAAATCCTAGAAATTTTTGGAAAATTGTACGTAAATTAGTTAAATCTTCAGACGAATCAAACATTATACCCCCTATTAGAAATACTCATGGCAACATTGAAATGACCGATGATGGCAAAGCTAATATTTTAAATGATTACTTTGTTTCCATTTCTACTATAGACGACATTAATATAGAATCTCCGACGGTAGAATTACGGACAGACTCGACAATATCAGATATACATTTTGAATTGAGGGACGTAATTGACATACTTAAATCTTTAAATGTGAATAAAGCTGTTGGTATAGACACAATCAGTCATAATATGTTAAAAAATACAGCAGTATCAGTAGCTTTCCCACTATCTCTCATCTTTAGATCCTCTCTGGAAACTGGGGTTTTTCCTAAAATGTGGAAACATGCATTAGTGATACCATTATTCAAAAAAGGGGACAAACACAATTTTGCTAATTACAGGCCAATTTCATTATTAAGCACTGTTGGTAAAGTTTTTGAAAGATTAGTTGTAAAATACCTTAATAACTATTTACTAGAAAATTCACTGATATACAAGTTCCAATCTGGTTTTCAACCTGGTCACTCGACAGTACATCAACTTATCGAAATTTATCATACTTTATGCGAAAATCTAGAAAAAATGCAACCTACATGTTTAGTTTTTTGCGATATATCGAAAGCGTTTGATCGTGTGTGGCACAGGGGTCTGGAAGTGAAACTAGCAAATTATGGTATTCGGGGTAAACTTTTAAATTGGCTTGTTAATTATATAAGTGAAAGAAAACAGCAAGTTTGCGTGGGTAACTCTAAATCCTCTATTAAATCTTCTAATGCGGGTGTTCCACAAGGCTCAGTACTTGGTCCCCTATTATTTATTTTATATATTAATGATTTAACCGATAATCTTCAGAGTTTCTCAAAATTATTTGCCGATGACACTTCTTTATTATACTCGAACCCATCCCCTTACAACGTTGAAACTGTAATAAATGATGATTTAGAACAAATTCAAAATTGGGCGAGAAAGTGGCTAGTAAAGTTTAATCCAACTAAAACAGAAGCATTACTTATCCATAATTCCGAATTAGACTACGCGATAGATATAAAATTTGATAATGTTAGTGTGAATTTTGTAGATAATCATAAGCATTTGGGGGTAACATTTGACCAGAATTGTAAATGGACAAGTCATATTGAGGACATTTGTAAAAAAGTATCTAAGCAGATTAGTATCTTGCGAAAACTTAAATTTATTCTAGGTAGACAAACATTGTATAGAATATATAATTCTTATATTATTCCACTATTAGAATATTGCTGTGAGGTATGGGATGGATGTACTCTCGGTGACGCAGACAAATTAGAAAAACTTCAATTAGAGGCTGCTCGTGTGATTACGGGGTTACCATCTTATACGAGCAGAGATTCCTTATATTCTGAATGTGGGTTAGAACCACTTTGCTTTAGACGCTCTAGAAGGAAATTGCAGCTTTTTTATAAAATCAAAAATAACTTAACACCTGATTATTTATCCACTCTTCTTCCCCCCTTAGTCTCAGAAAATTCACCCTATAACCTTCGAAATGCCAATAATTACTCCATACCAAACTACCGTCTACAACTCACAAAATCTTCTTTCTTTCCCTCTACTATTCATCTTTGGAATCAGTTAGATCACGATATCCGACAAAGTGAAACATATTCGGTCTTTAAACACTCTCTCCGTAAAAACACAGACATTCGAATTCCGCCCTATTTTCTTATTGGTGATAGAAAAACTAACATCCTGCATGCCAGATTACGTAACAGATCCAGTACTTTAAATAATGACTTGTTTCATGCTAACTTAATTAATTATAAACACTGTCAATGTGGACACTATATCGAAGATGCTCATCACTTCTTTTTTGTATGTAATAATTATGCCTACCAACGCCTACAACTTTATCGTGAGCTTAATGATTTCATTCCACTAGACCTCCACCTTCTATTATTTGGAAACTCCGAGCTGACTAACCAGGAAAACGAAACTATATGCCAATCCACCCAAAGATTTATTATAAATACAAACCGGTTTTAAATTATACTCTATAGTAAATTATAATCGTTCCTTCCCAACTCGGGTGACAATCGGTTGAGATATGTTATTTCCAGAAGGATCAGCATGGACCAAGGAGAAGGACATCGGTGGCACGGTTTTTGATAGACATTGACAAGTTGAACGCTAGGAAGAGTGGAATAGTATAAAGAATGTGATTGTCACCTGGGTTGGGTTAGACCATATCGCTATTGTTCCTTTTTCACTACATTTGTAGATGTACTCTCTCTCTCTCTCTCTCTTTCTCCCCCCTCTCTCTCTTTCTCCCCCCCCCCTCTCTCTCTCTCTCTGTCTCTATAATTGTATCTTGTAAATTTCGAATAGGTCATCTTTTGCATTTATATGTGTCTGTTATTTATCTTGGAACGGGCTTTATATAAGTTTGTAAACTTGTGCCCAATCCATTTGTATATACAATTTATGCAATAAAATATGTGAATAAATGCAGTGATTTGCCATGTTAACCTTATTTGAAAAGGAAAACCTCATAAATATTCGACTGAAAACGGGTATATCCCCAAATTTTTCCGCTGACTGGGGAAAACATGGCCACTAATTTCAACTGTATCATCGTCTCTTGTTTGGAAGGACGCTCGTTGAAAGTATGACCCAGACTCGAAACCGTTTGCTTTTAGTTTTTTTCTTCAACGACACGTTAGAAGTATAATTAAGTCCGATATCATTGGGAATGACGTTGAATGCTGACGACACTTTGTTTGTCGGAGATGGTAAGAGTAACCTCCCTTTATTTTCGGTAGGCGTGCTTATCTTTGCGTTGTCGATCGGCCAATTGAAAAGTTCTACGCGAGGTTGAAAATAGTCCGAAATAAATGTGAATACATTACGCCAGTTATCTAAATAAAGACGACAAGCTCGACATGTGCACATTTTTAAAATTTCTTGATAAAAATTAATATTTTTGATGCAAAGAGGGAAAATTGAAAACAAATAGATAGCTTTAATCATAAAACGAAATTCAAGTGCAGTCATAATCATCCACAAGCATGCATGCCAGTCACGGATGACTGATAATCTAGATTTACTCAGAAATCCAAATTAGTGGGTGAAAATGGTTAACAGCTTTCTTTGCTGCAATTCCAATCTAACGGTTGCATAAGCCAAGTGAGTCTTAATCATCACAATTTCATCTATTTACAGTCAATAAAAACAAACATTATCAGTCGGTTTTGCCATGTAATGTATTTTTTATTGTGTAGTAAAACATCTATTTAAAAAATACACAAATTTTGAACAAATAACATTCATTTTGTGCTAGATACATAGCATTTCATGCTACTTATGATAATTTTATTAAGTTCGAAAATAGATTTTTAAGAAATAATATGATTCACAAGAAGTCAAAATATGCCCGGTGAGTCTTGGCTATCTGTCCTGCAGACTGTTCCCTTGCTTCTACCATCAATTCCGTCTCCCCGAAAATCATACTCACTTCCACAGTTAAGCGTTCCTTGGACTCCGGAAGTTCCACCACAATCTTTCCCAAGAATTCACAGTTCCGGTCCGTCACATACATTGGATCAAGATCATCGGAAGCGTACACCTTCAGCAACATCTCCCGCTGGTTTCTTTTTATTGTCACGTGTCTACCAGTGACTGCTTCTCCAACTCCAAGGGGTTGACATTTCTCAATGTATTTCTTAAATACGTCCTTGACCCTATCAACACCGTCAATAGTCACGCGCCGTGCTGGTGAATGTGTTCTTTCGTCATACGCTGGTGATATATTGATACCGTATGTATATCTGGCTTTTCTTTGTGTAATTGTCTGTGGCTTGTGTCCAAATAAAACGGCCCCTTTTAGCACCGCTAGTCCAGCGTCTTCCGGTATGACAAGTTTGCGAGATTGACCGAACTTTTTAATCATTGCTTGTTGAAGAATTTCGCATTCTGAAAATCCTCCTACCATCACAATAGTTTTGACATCCGACACATCTTTTAATTGAAACATGTTGTCTAAATGTGATAGCAACTTATTCTTACTGTCCATAAATAGCTCCTGAAATAGATCGGCTTCCATTCGGAGTTTATCGCCAGTCCATGTCATTCTACCGTCATACTTAGAGGATTCTATTACTTTTTTAATATTCTCTTTTGCTAGTCGTTTATATGTTTCACTAAGCGATACTGGAATCTTCACTGTTACTTTCCCCGTCATTTCCGGTTTGATAGTTTGTTTCTTAGTTTCAATTTCCCTATATAGATCCAACACGTCAGCCTTGTTCTCCTCTGCAAACGCCTCCATCACTTCTTTTCCGACGAGATTGACCAGCATCTCGGTGAACTTTTCGTCTACATATTTGCCGCCCCATGGACCACCGCTTGCCTCGTGAACCTCCTTCAATGAGCCGTCCAACTGTTTCTCATGTACTGTGATGTCGACAGTTCCTCCTGCAATCAAACGTAAGTTTCCTTGTTATATCTTTGAAACAGATGAAACCCTTCCTTTAATCATATATAGCAAAGCTAGGCATCAAGACATTAATACATCCACGATGTAATAATTGACCCTTAGGCGACGCCCAATCCCTCTGGGCTTAATTTTTGGGTGATATCTTTGAAACCGTTGAAATCCCCACCCCATGACCTTATATTTAGAATTGCTTGACATCAAGAGATAAACACATTCGTTATGTAAGAATAGATCCTTGGGTGTTGCATATCGCAAAGGACATTATTTTTGGGACATTTTTGTATAAAGTTGAGATACCAACCCGATAACCAAATAAACTGTTAGTGGGAATCAAACGACAGTCATGATATCAGAATTTACCCATTAGTCTCGCTCCACCAAAGCGGTTATTGATGAAGCTTAAATTTGGAAATATTTGAAATACCCAACCTATAGGTATGTATGACATTGCTGGGCTTTAAAATCCAGGTGAACTATACAGGCCGTGTGGGCCTATTGTTTCATTTGAATTGTCGTATGTTTAACTTATTACGATATCAATCAACGCACTACTCATATCAGGATATATTTGACCTGAGGTAAATATTTCAAATAAACTCGTGTTGCTATTTTGTAAACATTATTACTTTTTTCATAAATAAATTAATGCCTTCTTAGAAGATACAAAGGATTTTTGAACTTATTTTTCTAATGTTTTTCATGCAAACGAAAATAATATGTTATCTCTTCCTTAATCTAGAAGCTAAGAATTTTGATAAATTGTCTTCTTTGTTTTTGTACAGTTCTTGGTTTGATAAAATGGACGAGAACAATGCCAAACATCATAAAATCTTTCTGACTATGAGTGTCATCAACGACAACTCTTTGTAGAGAAACAACATTGTATAATGATGACGGGGAAGTGAGGAGCAGGATAGAGGAGGGATGTGATGGAGGTGAGGGAAGGGGGTAGTTGGTTAGAAGTAAAAATAAACTGTAATTAAATCACCCAAGGTTTGATACCGATGATGTTGTAAACAAGTAAAGGCAGGACAATATTCAAATTCTATCATAAAGTTTACAAAATGCAAAAGCATTAGATTCTAATGCTTCTGCTCGAATCAGAAAACATGGCAATCTAACCTGCCAACCTAGCAACGTTAGCAGGTATAGAGGTTAGCCTAGGGCTTGTATAGAGATTAGCCTAGGGCTTGTATAGAGATTAGCCTACGTCTTGTATAAAGATTAGTCTAGGGCTTGTTTAGAGATTGGCCTAGGGCTTGTATAGAGGTAACATCGGGCTTGTATAGAGGTTAGCCTAGGGCTTGTATAGAGGATTCATCGGGCTTGAATAGAGGTTAGCCTAAGGCTTGTATAGAGATTAGCCTAGGGCTTGTATAGAGGTTACTTCGGGTTTGTATAGAGGTTAGCCTAGGGCTTGGAAAGAGGTTACATCTGGCTTGTATAGAGGTTAGCCTAGGGCTTGTATAGCGGTTACATCGGGCTTGTATAGAGGTTAGCCTAGGGCTTGTATAGAGGCTACATCGGGCTTGTATAGAGGTTAGCCTAGGGCTTGTATAGCGGTTACATCTGGCTTGTATAGAGGTTAGCCTAGGGCTTGTATAGAGGTTACATCGGGCTTGTATAGAGGTTAGCCTAGGGCTTGTATAGAGGTTAGCCTAGGGCTTGTATAGCGGTTACATCGGGCTTGTATAGAGGTTAGCCTAGGGCTTGTATAGCGGTTACATCGGGCTTGTATAGAGGTTAGCCTAGGGCTTGTATAGAGGTTACATCGGGCTTGTATAGAGGTTAGCCTAGGGCTTGTATAGAGGTTAGCCTAGGGCTTGTATAGAGGTTACATCGGGCTTGTATAGAGGCTAGCCTAGGGCTTGTATAGAGATTAGCCTAGGGCTTGTATAGAGGTTACATCGGGCTTGTATAGAGGTTAGCCTAGGGCTTGTATAGAGGTTACATCGGGCTTGTATAGAGGCTAGACTAGGGCTTATATAGAGATTAGCCTAGGGATTGTATAGAGGTTACATCGGGCTTGTATAGAGGCTAGCCTAGGGCCTGTATAGAGATTAGCCTAGGGCTTGTATAGAGGTTACATCGGGCTTGTATAGAGGCTAGCCTAGGGATTGTATAGAGGTTACATCGGGCTTGTATAGAGGTTAGCCTAGGGATTGTATAGAGGTTTCATCGGGCTTAAATAGAGGTTAGCCTACGGCTTATATAGAGATTAGCCTAGGGATTGTATAGATGTTACATCGAGCTTGTATAGAGATTAGCCTAGGGATTGTATAGAGGTTACATCGGGCTTGTATAGAGGCTAGCCTAGGGCTTGTATAGAGGTTACATCGGGCTTGTATAGAGGTTAGCCTAGGGCTTGTATAGAGGTTAGCCTAGGGATTGTATAGAGGTTACATCGGGCTTGTATAAAGGATAGCCTAGGGATTGTATAGAGGTTACATCGGGCTTGTATAGAGGTTAGCCTAGGGCTTGTATAGAGGTTACATCGGGCTTGTATAGAGGGTAGCCTATGGCTTGTATAGAGGTTAGCCTAGGGGTTGTATAGAGGTTAGCTTAGGGCTTGTATACAGGTTACATCGGGCTTGTATAGAGGTTATCCTCGGGCTTGTAAAAAGATTAGCCTAGGGCTTGTATACAGGTTAGCCTCAGGCTTGAATAGAGGTTAGCCTAGGGCTTATATAGAGATTAGCCTAAGGCTTATATTTTGGTTAGCCTAAGGCTTTTTTAGATGTTACATCGAGCTTGTATAGAGGTTAGCCTAGGGCTTGTATAGAGGTTACATCGGGCTTGTATAGAGGCTAGCCTAGGGCCTGTATAGAGATTAGCCTAGGGCTTGTATAGAGGTTACATCGGGCTTGTATAGAGGTTAGCCTAGGGCTTGTATAGAGGTTACATCGGGCTTGTATAGAGGTTAGCCTAGGGCTTGTATAGAGGTTACATCGGGCTTGTATAGAGGTTAGCCTAGGGATTGTATAGAGGTTACATCGGGCTTGAATAGAGGTTAGCCTAGGGCTTATATAGAGATTAGCCTAGGGCTTGTATAGAGGTTACATCGGGCTTGTATAGAGGTTAGCCTAGGGCTTGGAAAGAGGTTACATCTGGCTTGTATAGAGGTTAGCCTAGGGCTTGTAAAACGATTAGCCTAGGGCTTGTATAGAGGTTAGCCTCAGGCTTGAATAGAGGTTAGCCTAGGGCTTGTATACAGGTTATCCTCGGGCTTGAATATAGGTTAGCCTAGGGCTTATATAGAGATTAGCCTAAGGCTGATATTGTGGTTAGCCTAAGGCTTGTATAGATGTTACATCGAGCTTGTATAGAGGTTAGCCTAGGGCTTGTATAGAGGTTACATCGGGCTTGTATAGAGGCTAGCCTAGGGCCTGTATAGAGATTAGCCTAGGGCTTGTATAGAGGTTACATCGGGCTTGTATAGAGGTTAGCCTAGGGCTTGTATAGAGGTTACTTCGGGCTTGTATAAAGGCTAGCCTAGGGCTTGTATAGAGGTTACATCGGGCTTGTATAGAGGTTAGCCTAGGGCTTGTATAGAGGTTACATCGGGCTTGTATAAAGGCTAGCCTAGGGCTTGTATTGAGGTTACATCGGGCTTGAATAGAGGTTAGCCTAAGGCTTGTATAGAGATTATCCTAACACTTATATATTGGTTAGTCTAGGGCTTGTATAGCGGTTACATCAGGCTTGTATAGTGGTTAGCCTAGGGCTTGTATAGAAGTGAACCTAGGGCTTGTATAGAGGTTAGCCTCGGGTTTGTATAAAGGTTAAGGCTTGTATATAGGTTAGCCTAAGGCTTGTATAGAGGTTAGCCTTGGGATTGTATAGTGGTTAGCCTAGGGTTTGTATGGAGATTAGCCTAGGGTTTGTATAGAGATTAGCCTAGGGCTTGTATAGAGGTAAGCCTAGGGCTTTTATAGAAGTGAACCTAGGGCTTGTATAGAGGTTACATCGGGCTTGTATAGAGGTTAGCAGCGGGTTTGTATGGAGGTTACCCAAGGGCTTGTATAGAGATGAGGCTAGGCTAGGGCTTGTATAGAGGTTAGCCTAGGGCTTGTATAGAGGTGAACCTAGGGCTTGTATATAGGTTAGTCTCAGGCTTGTATGGAGGTAAGTCTAGGGCTTGTATTGAGGTAAGCCTATGGCTTGTATAGAGGTAAGCCTAAGGCTGGTGTATTACATCAAGGTAACGTAATATTATCACCCTAATTAAATCAACGAAGAAAGAATATAACTTCCGACTATACCTCCACAATCCAAAACCATGTATTTTGACGTTGATCCCTTGAAAGACACATTGCTTTTTAACTTGTCTATGGGTAGATACTGACAGTACAAAGATGCTGCTTCCGGTTCAAGACAGATGGTGAGTTGTTCCCCTTTTATACCGGCCTACAATGAAAACAAAAACTTGAACTGAAAGTGATTATAGAAAAAGATAGTTACATGAAAAACAATTTAATATGCAAGTAAACATACTTTCTGTGTCACGTGTTTATATTTGAATGCTAGAAAATCAAACTGACGACCGCTTGAATTCGATTTATCTCGTTTTCGTTTGAATCTATTTTTCCCTAAGGATTCCTGGAAGTTGTATCTCTTTCTCAGTATATAGTGTTAATGTTGCTAAATTCATATCTTTGTGGGTTTTTTTAACATGTATAATGTTCATTAAAGGCTTTTGGTCACGATTTCGGTTTTTGTTAAATTTTGTTACATCATAATCTAAATAACACTACCAACCAGATCACGCCGCTCAAATGTGTCATGAGATTTCTTTTTAGGCAGTAGAAAGTACTCGCTAAACATGAGTGCTAAAATTAATGAGGTGATTAGTCACGTGGTAAATGTGACGTCAAAGTGTTACTTCGTTTGACCGTGTCTAGTGTAACTAGTAGTGTAGAAGGCAGACAATTCTCATATGATGCCGTTTTCTTCATAAAAAAGTGAAATTATTTACTCTAATTAAACATTCTATATCATAATCTAAGAACTTTAGCAAATAGCACTGCTTAAATAAAAACTAAATGATAATGTGTTTAATACATTTGTGTATATGACACGAACTATTGCAGTGTCATGGGCACAGGAAATTAATCGACAGTCAATTACTGAAAAGTTACATCTGAACCTACATAGTCTGCTGCCTCCCGCATGAACTGTTTAGCGTTGTCCTTCCAGATGGCAGGGACAGTAAGAACCCAGTGAATGTCCGAGTTGACCACGGTCGTTCCACGTGTGTCCAGTGTGGTCAGTAAGTGGTCCTTTAGGTACTTTATCGACTCGCCGAATACCGTCTTGGCTGACATCTGTTTGGTCACGTTTTCCGACACCAGAGATGTGTTTCTTTGCAAATTCTGTTACCAAAAATATCACGGTATTAATTTACCTGGTAAGATGTCATCTACTGTAAATACATAATTTATCTTTTTTTTTTTTACGATTTTCACTCATCCCTACACTGGATATATACTGATACATCTAGAATTTGTATTAATGTACCAGCCTCTTTATAACGTTCGCAAATATATATATGTAAACTTGATAAAAATAACAGGTGACAATAAATCACAATTTATTTCCAAATTAAGTATTTTAACAGTCGTTGATTTATAATAACATACTCTTTCCATAAGTGTCATCTTGAAGCGCCGGAAGAAGTAATGGTCGCCATGAATGTCGTCTAGAGCTAATTCGGAGTATTGGTCCTCAGCTTCGTATCCGAATGCCTCAAATTTCTGATCTTTGTCGAACAGAATACAGGTCGGAGTTTTGAAGGATACCAGACTCCTTGACCCTGCAGTCCAGCTCTGGTTCACAGAAATCTGAAGGGCGTTGGTTCTGTAGTCTTCTTTAAAGGAAAATGCATAGCCCGAGTAGGTCGTTCCAAAGTCGATAGCGGCCACCATCAACTTTTGTCTTTTAATATCTTGATGTAAGGCGGCCATCTTGAATTTTACATTTTCTGGGGAAACACAATGGAATATTAATGAAATCATTGTTTTAATTCTTAGTATTCAAGGCTTACATTATATAAGTGAGTTGAACTTCTGTTTTGAATCTTGCGTCGTCTGCAAATTCGTACATTTCGTTGGAAATTTCCGGCAATTTTCAGCAATCTCGGAAATCGATTCAAAAGATTGCCAAAAATTCACCTGAGTGTTTCAAATGACGTCTACCGGGACGATAAAAAAAAATCCAGGATAACTTTAGAAAAAAAGTAGACGATACTGTACATTATATTCACATACAAAAGTTTAAAATCACAGTGCTGAATTGCATACATGTGTATAGCAGTCAACATTACATCTGATCGAAGTTTACATAACAGTACAAAACACCAAAATGGCTAGGTGATATCATCAATTCATTGTAATAATACCACATATTCTGTTTATAGCCCCACCATGAAGAAACAAGAAAAATAACGCGTCAACATAATCATAATCCAAACTCAAATTCATTAAATTTAGGGGAATATATGAACAAGAGAAAAATTTACACGGAGACTGCTGAAAAAAAAACCCAAACAGAATAAGACCAGGTCTTCCGAAAGAGTAAGCGCCTTCTGCTTTATCGACTACGCCCACCATCCATGTAAATCTTGGTCATTCCAAGTAAGTAATGCCACATTCCCTAATTAGAATAAGGTGTACAACAACGAAACCAACAGGCAAACTAGCGAGCATGAAACACGTCAAGCTTCATAAATAAATAAATGAAATAAAAAGCTGTGGTGCCATGAATTCATAAAGATAAAACCTTCAGCCTGAATTTGTTTTACGTGATATCACTTATACTGTACATTAATCAGAAAAATCAATTAATAATAAAATTGAGCTCAATGGATTCCCACACTCTTTTCACCGGAATCACTAAAGGGTCCAATAAAGTCTCAACACAAGTTTATCAAAGATCATGAAACTCATATTTGAAAAAAAAGTAGGAGATAATTCAATATAAGATGAATTCCAAGGTTTATCTTTGACTTCAGTGTTTTATAAACTTTCGTTATTTATGGTATGTACATAGCATTGAGCACTAGACACGATGTTTTACACACGTAGCTCTACATTTTGTAACGGAGTAGTTGATGTCGTCATTCGGCTATTGGAGTCAGCGATTTCAATGTATTTTCCCGTGGCTCTAGTTTTTGTTTTGAGTATAACTCTGGTCGCCTTTAGTAGAATTCAACAGAAGTTTGCATGAATCATCACCCCAAACCGCAAGTTCAAAATACGTAACTTTTAATTTGGTGGATCCATTTTTTTGATATTCTGGACCCGACAATAAATATTTCATTTTGTTTCTTGATCATATGAAAAAATGGATATTTGGGGGACAATTGGGAAAAGTTAAGCACAGCAACCACTCTCCGAATTTCTAAAAATAAAAAAATAAACACAAGAAATTTTCGTCTTTAAGTATAAAGCAGAGTCTTCAAAACAGTTAAATAATAGAGGATTTAAGCGGTTTTAATGAAATTTTGGTTGTTTGGGAAGACTGAGTCCTTAAAATCAAATAAACGCATAATTTTATGCTGCTTTTTTAAATCACACATGCCAAGCCACAAGCGATTCACTGTTAAAAGACTGCCCGAAGATTACAGAGGTATAATTCGCGAAACAATTTGGAAAAACGTAGCGAAACAAAAAAAATCCTATTTACATAATTAAGATTTACATCAACTTTTAAATTTTAAGGAAATACCTGAACATTTGGGCAGCCGTGACCTCGAAACCATTGTCTTACAATAGACATCTGTCTTTGTAACCTAATCGCAAAGGTCGTCACGATATTTTGTACACAAGTTGTATAGTACATTGTAGTTATTACTTCCTGCTTATGCAAACTGAAAGTATACCCGTTAAACAAAATCTCATGCACTTATAAGTGATATTGTATCACCATGTCAGAATCAATGTTGAGTAGAATGAGAACCCCATCAAAGGACAGGTAGGTTTGAACAGAATTTACTGAATTTTACCGATATTTAGATATTGGATTTAAAAATAAAACGGGCATACATTTAGCATATACACGCGTGTACGTACATATGTGTAAAAATCTATTGTCATTTCAAATTATCCTGCATAATCTTTATCACATATGTCATTTGAAGGGGCATGTACACAAAATAAATATACTAAAATCCGTTACAGAACAATTTTAGTATCATCAATAGTTATAACATTTTACTGGAAGGTATTGTACTTAAGTGTAACCCCAAGGTGCCTCAATTGCTGTGGTACAAGGTGTTATAATGTCTACAGTACCTTTATCATTTTACATTTGTAGCTGACATCGTCTAGTTTCTTGCTAGAGGTAGTATACATTAACTCTTTGAATACAACTTACCGATCTAAAAAGGTTAAAGTAATAAACAGGTGTCATATCACAACACAGGAGGAAATTTCTCGCTCCCAATGTGTACACGGCCTCGTTTTTGAGTTTCGCCGCGACTCATTCGTATAACGCATTTCGATTGGCTGGTTATTATTAGTCAAAGGGGTATTCCGGTTGTTTACGTGTAATTTGCGTGTTTGAAATAAGGATATGACTTAAATGAAAAGCATTTTATTCCACGACAACGCGAGGTAAGTACTATGCTATAATGATGTTCAGAATAAGTTCACAGTTTAGATGTACCGAAAGAAAATGAAAGTTGTCTCCTGGCGGAATCCTATCAGGTAACAGGGAGCGGTGAATTATTGCAATATGGGGCACCAATGGGAGTTCGTGATTTCGCAAAAGTTGAAGGTAGATATTGACAAGCATTAAACGTCTGAAAATAAATGATTTTCTTAAAGCCTCATAATGATTTAAAAATTTATAGGAATTTTTAATGTATCAAATATCTCCATGTAATAGAGATTTTAGATTTCAATTTCAACTTCAGTATACTGTTTTTATTTTTCATTTGAAATTTCTTCAAATATGAAGTGAAAATTGTCTTTAAATTGAATCATATCACATGATTTTGCTCTATTGATAACATATTAACACTGCATAATTTCAGACTTCGGTTTTTTTTCATCAAATATATGCTTAGATTTTAAGGTTTAGTAAACAAACCTGGAGCCAATGCAAACCAAGTTAAAACTAACACGTGACTTTCTAGTCTGTCGATTTAAACAGTAGTGCTGCACTGTCACCGATGAGTTGGGCTCGGTAGTGTGTTACTAATATACACTGTATATATATGTGTGTGTGTTATCCAAACCTTCCTTGTTTGGGTATTATCAGAACTAACATTGACACATGAACAGACCGTTAATATTGACTCTCCTGGATAAATACATACATTCATGCAAGTGCATGTATATTTACATCGACATCGACGCTTTATATTAACTCCAGGTAAGCTGTTGTCAAAAAGTGTATTAATATAGTTGTATACATATATGTACGTTGTAAATGACAATTAAACGGATTTATAGGCCAACGTTGACAGTTATGAATGGCGCGTAAATGTTCAGATAAGAAACGTGCCGGTTCATGTACCTGCAGAGGAATGTAGTGTTAAAGAAACACAAAACGAAAGTAGCTGAATATCATGCATGAAAATTTCTTATTTTGTTCTCAATGAAACAAAATTTCAACAATAAAGATCGAACAACGTGACAGCTTTGACAGAATACTATTGTTCAATATCAACTGTAACTTATATTTTTATATTAGTGCTTATCAGCATAATACAAAGGGTGGAAGGTTTGAATTCTATAAATCGTGTCACTTCTTATTCATAGTTATCAACTTACCGTGTAATTTTCTCTCTCTCTCTCTCTCTCTCTCTCTCTCTCTCTCTCTCTCTCTCTCTCTCTCTCTCTCTCTCTCTCTCTCTCTCTCTCTCTCTCTCTCTATTTTTCTCACTTTCTCTCTCTCTCCCTCCCCCCTCCCCCTTCTCTCTCTCTCTCTCCTTCCCCCCTCCCCCTTCTCTCTCTCTCTGTCTGTCTGTCTCTCTCTCTCTCTCTCTCTCTCTCTCTCTCTCTCTCTCTCTCTCTCTCTCTCTCTCTCTCTCTCTCTCTCTCTCTCTCTCTCTCTCCCTCCCCCTCTCTCTCTCTCTCTCTCTCTCTCTCTCTCTCTCTCTCTCTCTCTCTCTCTCTCTGTCTCTCTCTCTCTCTCTGTCTCTCTCGCACCATACAGCTGTTTCATCCTTCTAGCATTTGTTAGTGATAAATAACAATCTGATAAATTCTTCCAATTCAATTTTGAATTATGAGGTTTATATTTTATTTATGCAAAAATTTTGTTATTGTTTTTATTTAATGTGCTCAGGCTACCAATATATCTAAGTCGATACAAAGTTTGTGAGTATTCGTTACTTTGAATTCTAGTCAACATAACTATACGTGCTATACCTCTACTGTCTTTAAATACAAACAGAATTGGCACATTTCCAAATACCGATTTAAAAAATTTAAACAAGTAACAATTTCTATATAAGTATTAAAGTAGGTAAAGTATTTATAGTAGTTTTTTTACTTCATTGTTTGATATTACATGCCGCTGCCCCACCCCACTTTTTTTCTTTTTTTTTAATTGCTGTTGATATCCAACGAATAAAAAACTCTTCCTTGTACGTGATATATCATGTATTGATATTGATTTTAGGATTTTCACGGTACCTAGCATATTTTACGAAATGATAACAAGCGAGATATCCGTGCTATTTAATATTCAAAGCCTTGATCTGCTGTCAAGTTTAAATAAGGAAAAGAGATCGCAGAAGACAGCCATCATAGATTGTACGTACACAAAAATGCCGAGGATTGAATGGGGCTGTTATTTACGATAGAATTAAAGAATTTAATCTGAAAACTTTCTCCTGCGTTCCCTACAGAATGTCGTACAGAAGTAGCAGTAAGGTTTCTCCACCTGGTGCATACCCTGGGCGTGCACGACCACACTCAGCAACTAGGGACAGGACCCAAGCTCGTCATGAGAGACCGGCATCAGGGTAAGAATTGTATATGTATCACGTCAGACGTAAAAGATCGTCAGATAGTGAAGTTGTGGCAAGTACCGCTTATCTGAGGAATTTTTGAAATTTGTTTCTAAAATTTTTTTCTTTTATTTCACACTATACCTACGTTAGGATGAAAATCAATTTTCTTGCTTACTATAGAAAATCTTTTATGTTATAATTCCCATCCCGATAATTGAGTCACGACATGAGCTATGTTTTTGGGGTATATTATATATCAATAATAACAAAGACAGAAAGATATCCAGTAATGTCATTTTATTAAAAGACGAATAACATGACAGACATGGTCACAACAATGTCAACCATGCTGTACAAACATTTATCTTTATTACAAACAAATATTTAAAACATAAACAAAGTCATAATTTTAATATAGCCAAGAAGATGGAGCATAGAATATGAACCTATATGATAACAAGAACGAAATCATACATTTTTATACATTCAAAAAGGAAGAGTATAAACTAGGAAGTAAATGTGTCGTAACCTATATTGTGAGATAGTGGGCCAAACCAATATTGTCACCAATTTTCCACCTTGTACGACTTTTTATTTTCTCACTTCACCTAGCCGATTGACTTGTCGGTGTTGGCCGAAATTTTTCGGGTGATTGAGCTTCAACCACATGACTTTTTCCTCCCACTTTCATCGCATATTGTAATACATAATTTCAGTGTTAAAATAAGAAAATTAAAGCAACGAAATTCTATGTACAACAATAATGTATTTGTATAAATTGTATATTATAGTAAATACAGATTTTAAGGAATGCTTTGAGGTATCATCATGTTGTGCATATTGCCATGTTGCACGAACGCATGTAATAAAAAAAATCCTTCCATTGTCGATTAAAGACGAGAACGGAAACCAGAAGCTTTCAAGCATGAACGGACGCCTAGCACGGACGCCGCAGATCCAACCGACCTCCGAAAACTTCTTCACGTTGTTGGGGAGCTTCAGAAAATTGATGTGAACGCAGCACTGAGTCTCTATCAAGCGCTTATGAAGAAAACTGAAAATGAGGAACAAATTAAATCTGAGGTTAACAAACTTACTATTAATTTTATTTCGCCGTCCTTTCAACTTTTAGCTTCTGTCTAAAGAACTAAGAATCTCTGTTTTAAAATCTATCTTGTTCTGTTTTCTTGTTTTCTTTTTATATCCACTGTTTTAGGGTACATGTATATTCTAATCTCAGTAAATATAGAAAAAACGGGATACGTCACAAAAAGAAATTTTAAAAGAAAAATGCCATTTTGAATAACAATCTGATGGAAACATCGACTTTTCCCAAATGCAAGCGTCTTTTGTTGTTCTAGTTTGTGTACTTTGTTCTTGTTTGTGTTTGTTACCCGGATCGATCAATAATCCACGCGCAATATTATCAAAACACGTGCACAGATTTTTCTTTTTTTTTATACTGAATTACTTATGTAGAGCTTGAGCCAAATACATCTGAATTATAATTATAATTCTGCTATCAATTGATTAAAATAATGCTATCAACTAATCAAAATAATGTTATCAATTAATTACAATAATGCTTTTAATCAATTAAAATGTTGCATACATTTTTGCTTCCTGTCGTTGTATTCAAAATTGACATACCAAAAGGGACACAAAGTCATTTAATGCTTTATCTGTTGTGTCACCAATGCTACGTACAAAACTAGATTTATAAATATATCAGTCAGCAGTAGCTATCGCTTTGATTGAAACAGGCTCCAAGAGATGTAGTGAGCAATATTTCTTTAATTGTTCGTCATCCCTCTACTTCATTACTTCTCTTTAGCTGCGCAACATCTCGTCAACTTCACTATGCCTCTTTAGTTCAATTAATGTTCAAATGTGTTTTTTGTTGCCACAGGAAAAATATTTGGATGCTTTGAATGAGCGAATGGAACTGAAAGCGTCTACGACTGCCACACGTGATCGGGAGGAACTACAGGAGCAATTTAATGCTCTGTTGAACGAAAAAGAGAAGCTTGAGGAAGCCAACAAGAAATTGGAAGGCAAATGCAAAGAAAATGAACGTTTGCATACCGAAATGCAACGTTTGGAGACAAAGAATGACCAATACAAAAATAATTTAAAAAGAAAAGAGGAAGAACTAAAAAAGGCACAGTCAGAAAAAGATGACGCCCTGAAAAGGTTAGTTAACCATAATTTTAAAGATTTCCTTGATCTCTTTGGTGAATAATGTAAAATAATTGTCATAGACAATAATTCTACTTTAGATAGGTTTACTCGCTGGAAGAACTTATTCATATCCGATATGCCATATATTACAAAAGACAATGTACAGTAATATGTGAATTATGAATTAAATCTTAATAATTCAGCTGTATCATAATGCTATTTTATCCTTTTAAAGACTCATCGGTAATTAGCAAACGGACTTCAATTGTTGAAAGTTAGAAAATGACCAAGAAAAATAACAATTGATCGATATGCAAGTTGGTAGATGGATTTTAGAGATGGCATTTAAATATCCATCTTTTAATAACAAATTATGCACTAGGTTTTAAATCAGATTTGAAAAGAAACACCACTCTAGAGTATTGTTGTATTACCGGATGTGTATATTTCATAATTGGATTTCGTGGAATGTTACAAATGAAAACGGCAAATGGTAATGTGCACTGTGAACATAGCAACGGATTGACAGTCATCTGGAGTTGGTTCTTGCATAACAAAGAAAAGGAACTTCATTTCTATCACCTTAAAATGCCTTTGCATTATTGAGTTTTCAGCTTTCAGAGATGTGTTTTCGTATACTTTTGTCAAATTCGTGCGAAGTACTATGAATGTGTGATTAACCAGATAGGTGATCAAGTTTGATTGGAAAATTATTATTATCTAAGGGAAAGGGATAACTATCTATGAAGTGCGATTAATTACCCAGATGAAAAAAACTAATCCAGTTAATTTGGCTAGCAAATACAAGTGTAGTAGGTGCCGGATGCAAATGCATAATAGTTAGCTGTTAGTTGTAAAGATGATAGGTACGAGTTTTTATCTATTGGTGAAAATGGTAATGTTTAGATATTGTCAAAGCATGAAGACCTTTGCATCGATGATAATTTGATGATACCTTTCTGTTGGAGCACAGATTAAGTAAGGAGATCGGGTTTAAAATGACAGACAACAACCCATCTATCACAGACCTCAGTGACCCGAATAGAGCCATGAAACTTGGGGAAAGATACAGCGAAATTTATGATAACGAATGGACGGACGCTATGGAGATACTTACGGGAAATAGCAAGGACGATATCAGGGAGAAGTCTTGTGTGCAAAATTTACACGACATCCTTAGGGTACAGTGTTTGTGATTACATCATTCATTCAAATATAGTTTATTGTAGAAACATACAAAAGGGATTGTCACAAGTTCTCGCAACTTACTAGGCCCTCTCCTGAAATACATTACATAATTTCACAGAAACAACACGTGATGACGATATACAAGCATATTACATCAAGTGTTTCGTAAATTTCTGCAGTAAATGTAAAGAGCAGTTTATTTCTTCTTTCCTTTTACTGTAAATGTTTATCATATCACAGAAATATCACGCGAAACAGTAGCATACACATGGACTCATATTTTTAGATGCGAACCACAAAATATAGTAATGCAGAATTTATTTCTTTGCAGAAATGTTACAACCTCTGTGTAGAAATGGCAGATAAGCAGATGGAATCGCTTCAGTTGGCTTTGGTAAACCCAGCGGACCCGGTAGGTTCAGTGCCAAATGTGATGCTTGCATTCTATTTATAGATATTGCAAAGATTGATTTTGATCAGATCGTTAATTATTAAATTGGCATGTAGTATATTCTGAACTATATAATGATGGCTCAAACAAGTCTTTTAGCGTTACTATGCCAATAATCCGTCCTCAATCACAAAAAGATCGGTGTTAAAAATTTGATTATGTCTTATCATGTAAAATTATTATAATTATCTTTGATATTTATCAAGTGAAATTGTTATAAAACTAACAAAGCACTACAGCAGATGTATACTCTTTTGGTCGTTCTTTATTTAAAATAAGCTTAATGTTTCCTTTCCAAGGGAGACAACTTTCAATTTCTATCACATATATTTTACGTTTTAAGAAATTTTTTCACTGTTTATTTGTTAAACTGTCAAGTTTATATAACTATGTATTCGCAGTACTTCATTTTATTTGATATCTTTAGTGTATTTAAACTTTGGAGTATACAACTTTAGAATCAGTTATAAAAGTGAACTCCATGTGTTATTATGGGAACCATCAACCCTAGGTAACGTGTTGAAATAGTATCCTTTAAGGAAGACATATTGCAATGGTTATTCAATTTCTTTTTAAAAACAGTACATTCCATTCCATTCCATGCAAATATATCGAGAAGGAACATTTATCATAGACTTGAAATAGATTGATGTATGGGTCGTTTTTTCCCTTTTGGTGATGTATTGTACTGGAAAGACTATAACGTTATGTAGTGTGGGGGTTAAAACTCGAACCGAACTTATCATTTTTGAAAGAATTTAATAAAAAAAATTCATCTTGACAAACACGTGAGTACTACATCAAAATTGAAAAAAAACTTCATATTACATTCTTCCATTTAAAAAAAGTAAACTTTCATACGAAGCACAGTTAAGGAATTTACCTTGGAAAAGGCCTAAATTTGTCTGGTTTAATCTTATGAGGAAAATATAATATACAAACTTATGTGATAACCACATTAATTTGATTATACATCAATTATTGAATAAAATCGTATTATACAGCTCTGTCGAACTTCCTTCTTGGAATAAGCAGCACAGCTAGATATTGCATCAAAAATTCACCTTTATTATTTAAAAGTCTTCTTCTTTCATTTCTACAAGATTGCTTCAAGCTACTTAATATCTTTTCCTGTATGTCATCTCTGCATTTGAGATAATGTAATATATCTGTGGTGACAGTAAAACGACTTGTTAAAATGAAGAAAAAGAAAAAACCAATGAAATGAATTTGATTTTGATATCTAGATAAAGCAAGTGTGTACTTATGTAGAATTAATCTCAATGTTTATATCAAGGCGAGGTCGAAACGAGCCTGGGTTAGTGCAGCGAAGCCAACGACATCGAAATCAGTGTGCAAACAGCTAAAGGATTGTCGAAAGCAGATGTCGTCAGACGCCGCGGAATATGTTTATAAGGTCAATATACAAATATGTCACTTAATTCGAAAAACAATATTTCAATTCATATGAAATAAAAAAAAAATCTATTTTGGCTCTGTAAAAGTAATTCGTAAGATTTCAATGTGTTTAACGTTGATACAGAATGCAAAATTCTTGAGATAAATTTTATCATTTCAATACAAGACAAGATAATCTTTTTTACTAATTTACTAATTTCTCCGAAAATCCACGATATCGATGATGCGCTCGTTTCACTTTCATGAAAATACATCTAAATGTTGAAATTGGCCTTGGTGATGATTTCTTAACTCACGAAAATGCGGTGTCATATTTGTTTTCAATTTGAATTAAATGAACCATGGTGGTATATTCCAATAGTCATTCGAGGACGATCATCGTTAAAACGATAACAAAACCTTGTGTCTTGAGCTGTCCATCGTTCTGAAATTTATATGAGGTATATCTTCAATTATCATTATGGAGTCAATGCATTAGCAGTAGAATTTCCGGGACACAAGGTTCAGATTACATCGAGTATTGATGAAATCAATGATAATTTTTTTTTCGATGTTTCAGGTTGTTTATCATATTTTGCCACATAATAAAAGCAATTATGAATTAGTTATTTGATTTCAATGAAAGTACAAATTAATTCCATCACTGCAGTAATGACATAAATGATAGGTATCACTGCTTGCTCTGCTGCATCTTTTTCAACGATGATATTTGAGTTTAAATCAATCAAAATGGTGTTGCAATGCGTTGCATTGAAATTCACTGATTGCATTGTTTAGTGGCAATGGAACGAAAGTTGAAACAGCGTTTCTTTTTGCTGTGGGTCCTGTGTATCTTTCAAATTCAAGTTTTGATAATTGTTTTGTAAGTGACCTTTTTAATAGATTAAAAATGACATTTGTAAAACAATAGTTTCCTGTGAATAACGGTCACATCAAAATGCCATTCTGTCAATTATATAGAATATGCTTCTTGTAACCACATGTAAAATTTGTTTGATGTTTGTATCAATATTTTGCTATTTTTATAAAAAAAAAGGTCTTTAAAGGAATATTAACTATTATTGAATATACATATTTCCCGGGTAAAACAGAATATATCGATATTTTCCCGGGTAAAACAGAATATATCGCCATTTTCCCTGGTAAAACAGAATATATCGCTATTTTCCCGCGTAAAACAGAATATATAAATATTTTCCCGGGTAAAACAGAATATGTCGATATTTTCCCGGGTAAAACAGAATATATCGATAATTTCCCGGGTAAAACAGAATATATCGCTATTTTCCCGGGTAAAACAGAATATATCGATATTTTCCCGGGTAAAACAGAATATATCGCTATTTTCCCGGGTAAAACAGAATATATCGCCATTTTCCCTGGTAAAACAGAATATATCGCCATTTTCCCGGGTAAAACAGAATATATCGATATTTTCCCGGGTAAAACAGAATATATCGCTATTTTCCCGGGTAAAACAGAATATGTCGATATTTTCCCGGGTAAAACAGAATATATCGATATTTTCCCGGGTAAAACAGAATATGTCGATATTTTCCCGGGTAAAACAGAATATATCGATATTTTCCCGGGTAAAACAGAATATGTCGATATTTTCCCGGGTAAAACAGAATATATCGATATTTTCCCGGGTAAAACAGAATATATCGATATTTTCCCGGGTAAAACAGAATATATCGATATTTTCCCGGGTAAAACAGAATATATCGATATTTTCCCGGGTAAAACAGAATATATCGATATTTTCCCGGGTAAAACAGAACCTATCGATATTTTCCCGGGTAAAACAGAACCTATCGATATTTAATCGTAATCATTGAAGATACATTTAACGAGAAACCATTTCATATCCTCGATATATGGTATGATTAGTTCTATATTTAAATCCGAAATTGATCATTTCAAAGTCACACATTTAAAAAGAAAACCTAACTCTATACGTACTATTCAGGTCTTTGTGTGGATTAGTTCCATTTTGTGACGGTATATTTATATGAACATATGTTGTATATCAACCGCTGTGCTATATCGTCCTGTCCTCTTGACTCATAACTGTTTGAACTTTACTATGACCTTGATATATTGCTCAATGAATATCATCCTATGTTCTATTAATTAATGTTTAAATTTGTTTAACAGGAATATGCTTACGAAAAGATCGGAAGCATTGCAGAAAGAATACCCGTATATGTCAAGAAATGTATCGAAGTATGTTGGTATATGTGCATGCATGATCCACCCGTTGCTATAGGCAAGGATGTTACAGAGGGTGAAAAATTCGATACCAACATCTACAAACCGTACACCAACAGTGGAACTGTCGTATCCTACAATGTCTGGCCACCTTTGCTTCTGCACGAGAACGGTCCGCTTCTTGCAAAAGGGATCGTTCAGCCGGTGAAAGTGGAGAAAAAGAAAAGCAAGGCACATGTGGGTATGAACGGCGTGGGAGCTTCAGCGGCACTGAAACCAATCAAAGGTTACGGTACAACATATTCCGCCAATGAGGCAACTGGCCACTGGACTGAACGCACAGCATATGACCCTTTCCAGGACGCTTATGGAAGAGCAGAGAGGGACAGGATAAAGAAGCAAGAAAACACTGACACTTCGTGGAGGATTCACGAGCCTTCTTCGAATTACAACAAGACTAACTACTGTACGTCTTATTCGGAGACACCAACTTATGGCAAGGACGTTCATCACTCACATGTCCGTGATCATGTAGAATCCAAGAGTACGTATGATAGGGACAGAGATTACCATTCACGGCCTTCGACAAACTACGTTCAGGAATCGGTTTCTACTTATGCACGACCAACATTATTACAACACGAAGGCAAATTCTACGTAGATGTTGGGGGAAGATATTATGAATATGAAACCTATAAACGTGCTATCGGAAGAAAGGATGAATCATATGCATGAATTCTGACCCTCATTCGCCTGATTAAACATGCTCTATGAACGAGACAAGATTTATTCATGTTGCTACATAATTCTATCGAGAAACATTTGTAAATATTCGGTGAAGAAGTAACATTGTGATTTATTCTTATATACATGAGCTTACTGGTGTATTCATATATAAATGATAGGGAGTAACCAATTATTCAGTTCCTTTCGTTTGATGAACTCCGTTGAACTTTTGCAAAACCTTCAAAGACCCACACATTGTAAAAGAATTATATAGTTGATAATAATAATTTTGAGTGTTTTTATTAATAAACAAAACATGCTACAAAAAAGTAAAAAGTTGATGTCTATGGATTTACTGGTGTCGATTTCTTGTTTTACTCGTTATAGACGGAAGTTAAAGACTGTGAAACTATCACTAACATTAACATCGTCTACGGAAATAAACCGATTAAACTTTATTTCATTGCCGTGATAATCAGCAATAGAATTTAGCACAAGTGTTTGCAACATTATATAAGCCCTTTCCCCAAAGGAATTAACAATCAGAGCACTTGGTAAAACAAAGAGGTCATGAATTTTTAACCATACATACTGGATAATTACAACGATATCCGAAATTCTAAAACCAATCAATTTGACTGTAATTTTAAATCTGATGTTAGATTAAACCAGCTGTAAACATTTTTGAATTTCATTGTATTTCTACCATAATTGGTAAAAAAGATATCAAGGAAAATAAACACATATAACGTGTAAATATAAACATTCTATACTGAAGGAAAATACGCCGATAACCTGCTTATCTTATTTTCCTTTTCCATTTTTATTTTCTGACACTATATATTGCATACATGTAATAGACACACATGCATAGACATCACAGTCTGAGTCATCAACATGCTTACACAGGTGTGACGATACACTATTGTAGCCGTTCTGATTTAAGTACAGGGATTAAATAAGTATTTGGATCCCCTTCTAAATGAGTATACTATTAAGGATACATACGCCGGACAACATACAATAAGGACAGATAAATTACACGTTACAGATTAGTAGTATTGTTGTGTATGGACTGCATTTAAGTGACCAGATGGTAAAATTCTCATACCATCACCACTGAAAAGTTTATATATATATATATATATATATATATATATATATATATATGTATGTATGAATTATACCAAATTTAGAAAAGAATTTTAAAAAAACTAAATATTTGTTATTGATATTGAAATCACGTCCGAAAAAAGCTAAATAAGTATCATGATTATGTAAATTGGATATGCAAAGAAAATAAAAGAAAATGACTATTTATATCATTCCCCTTTTCGATAATTTCATTTGCAGACATAATGAAAATGTATAATGAGCGCTCATATAAACTAACTACATTGTCAAACCATGTGATCAGAAGTGCTGGAAGCCGAGTAAAACAAATCCATTACCCACTACTCCAAATCTCTGATTGATATTGAAAAAAAATGATAATAAGTTTAGTCTATATAAGGTTATCTCTTGGGACATATTTGGTTTCGTATACACCAAAAACTGAACAAATATACTATATGATGACTTTAGAGGATGACAACAAATAAATGTTTACATTGTAAATGAACCATTAAGATATGGAAATAGTTTTGAAAATATGATTTCATATCATTGAAAAATACATATGAACAGGTTACAGCACAAATACATCACTTCTGTTTTGTAAACCTCTGGTCATTTGCCCGGAAGCTCATTCTCGAGATGTTAAAATTTATATTTAAAAAAACATTATGTATATCAGTCTTAGATCTATTATTAGAATTCAAATGTTTAATATTTACTTAATATCTTATTATAGACCTGGCGGTACAGATTATAGATACAAACACAAAGTTAAACCAGTGAACTTAGAATTTGTATGAAAATATAACTTATTGATTAAACAGGATAAAATAGCAATAGATCTTCATTAAAGTCCAAGTGAAACATGCTCAACTCGTTTTACCTTTAATTGTTCTCGAGGTGTTCAAATTTATAAAAAAAGGAAGTTTATGATATAAATCATTCTTAAGTTCATCCTAAGAATTAAAGTGTTCAATTTATAATTTATATCTTATTGTAGCTCTTGTGGCAATGAGAGAACGTAAAAGGTAGAACTTAAGTTCAACAAGAGAACTAAGATCTTTCTCTGGAAATAGTACCCAACAATGAAATTGAAAATAGTAAATTTGCATGAAAACCAAAGGAAAACAGGTTTAACCCGTATTACCTTTAAAAGTTTGTTTACGCGATATCTATATACATTTGTGCGTAGCACAACATTACATGTTTCTTAACAATTTGAAAAAAATATTACTTCCTTGACTGGAAAATTTACATACGCGTTTCGCGGAACTAGACGCAAGCACCAGAACAGACCTGTACAAATCCATAACAAATGTGTCTATTAACAGGACTGTGTACTATATTTGTGTTCGCTTAGAGGTAAGATATCATTCATGCCTTGACATCAGTAATACATTGATTATCATACTGCATAGTGTTTGCATAGAAGCAGTGAAATACTGTAATTTATCATAATATTTACAAAATGGCGCCTCGTATATGTGAAATATGCATCATTCATGATGATATCTGTGATGAAGTGCTTGTAATGCTACATATACACAAACCGAAAGTAGAAATCCTAATAGCAATATAATTTGAATAATGTTATAGCTCGATTACAATGGTCACAATGCATGTAGATATATATATATATCAATATATATTAAATTGATTTAAGAGGTGTTTCTGGAAAATGACGAGTCCGCACTATGGCCAGATGTCCGGTTCAGGAAATGTCATGACCACACACAATATAACCGTCACCCGTCCCGCTCGGCCAGCACCGAGGTAAGTGATAGACAATAAAAAGAATGGAAATCACACGAAAAGGTTGTTGTTGTGGGAAATTCTGCTCAGGCTGTATTAAAACGTTGTTCCTGCCAATTTTGGAACATTCCTCTTCCGGTTGGTTATGTCCTTAGAATAAACATTTTTATTACACAAGTAGATTTTAGGTGTGCCGTTTCGATGACAACACAGTCGATTTCATCAGACAAATGACCAATTAAGCGTATTAGACTTTCGCACATGCTTCAACCTTCAACAAACAACAAGAGAGAGAGAGAGAGAGAGAGAGAGAGAGAGAGAGAGAGAGAGAGAGAGAGAGAGAGAGAGAGAGAGAGGTATTGTTCCTTAAATTATATTTACTCTTTAAAAAATATCTGTAGGTATGTGTTAGAGAGACAGAAGGTGTAACAGCTACAATTCAAACGAGTATTACTGGAATATGTTCTTGTCATAATGTAAATATAATGTTTGACTGTGCTACGTTAACACATTTTAATTCCAGCAACTGTTTTCTAAAGTAAATTCATTTTTATATCTACATAATCACAATAACTCTATTAGACATAATAGCATAGACCTCCATCTTTGTTGAAATCAGTCCGAGAATATGGAACACTGAAACTATGGAGTTGCGGCAGGATGACACTACAAAACAGGCTGTGGAACCTTCCAAGGACACCATACATGATCTAAGAGACGTGAACGACCTTCGGAGACTCATCCATGTGGCATCCGAGTTAAAAGATATCGACGTATGTAAGGCACAGCATATTTATAAAGATTTCATGAAACGGGCCAACCAAGACGATCTAATGAACGAGGAGGTAAGAAATATACCTACGATATATTTGCAAATGTAAATAAGAATATCACTTTTTATTGTTTTTGTTAATGATGATTATAAAATTGAATACCTCTCTGAAAATTCAGGAGAAAATCCTTCAGACCAGAAAGGATCGTTTGGAATCGCTTTCAGCGGGGACAGATATGATAAAAAAAGAACTATACGACGCCTTGGTGCAAACGAATGAGCAATATCGAAGAGATCTAGATACGTTAGAACGTAAAGATGAACAAACCCAGCGTAAGCTTCAGGAGTTAGAGAGAAAATTGAAGACAGCTCAAAAAGAGAGAGATGATGCCGTGCTGGAAAAAAACATGGCGCTAACTAGGTAATTGACCTATGTCAAAGAACAAATTAATCATTTTAGATCCCAGCCAAGCGAGTATGATAGTATCACTTTTATTGTTTCCATTTTCCCCCTTCATTTGCCTGTCCGGAAAACGTTGCCTATGCTTGTGATTCTGTGTCGAACTAAGCACGCTTTAATGATGTGTTAGCTAGCCATAAAAAATCCTGTGAAGTTTTAAGTTGAAATAACAAAAAAAGAGCAGAATAAAGAAGCTTTTGTCATTAAAGTGTCCAATTTCGTCCAAATAATGACTGTTCCATATGCACAGGTTAAGTAAGGAGATGGGAACAAAGCTGAATGAAAACAACCCCGCGATCACTGACCTTAGCGATCCGAACAGACCTACGAAACTTGGAGCAAAATACGACGAACTTTATGATAACGAATGGACTGATGCCTTGGAAAAGTTGTGTGAGGATCATGATGAAGAGACCAGCATTCGAATACTATTAGATGTTCTCAAGGTAGCTTAATATATAACTTAATACATAGTGAAAATCTACAAACATCTGCAAGCCATAAGTCTGCATGTATCAGGGCATTCGCGAAAACCAACCACCGCTGATATATTACTAATAATTGGTTAAATTAGAGTCAGGAAGGTAACTCTCTGAAAGAATGATTCCAATTCACCTTATTTATGACCATTGCACTGATATTTGCTATCCGATCTTTTAAGTCTGGCAGCGCTGGACAGTTTTTTAAACTACGTCTTTGAGAGTTAAAAATGTATATATATATAACTTCATATTTCAACATCTGTCCGTATAAAAATATTTTACAGAAATGCTACAGGGTATGTGCTGATCAGTCGGAGAAGCAGATGCTGTCACTACAGAGAGATTTACTTAACCCAGACCTCACGGTGAGTTGTATTAATCCTCCCGTTATCAGCTTTAGTTCATACTGTTGCAAGTGTTAAAGCGAAATGTTTGGGACGTTCCTTTTATAAAATATCCCATGATATGGAAGTGTATTTTCATTGTCGTTTCGAGACGTTGAATAAAGTGAAACATTCTTATCTTTACCTCATTTTTACGCATTATTAAAAAAAATTGTTTTTTAGGAAACGCCAAAACTAGCTTGGAAAGACGGTATAACCCTTGAGATTCCTAAATCAACAATGAAACAGCTGAAGGATTGCCGAAAGGAAGCATCAACAAAAGGTCCAGTAGA